GGGGGGGGGGGGAGAGAGGAGTCTTTAATGTTCTCCCACATGGCTTTGTGTTTTGGGGTGTATTGACTGTCTCCAGGACCCAGAGAGGTATTTTATATGCAGGATAATTAAGGTTTATTGATCTAGGTCAGTTACTTCCTAATACAAACAAGTGGCACCACTTGCTCACTACTTCCACAGGTATAAATAATACAGATGAGGTGGTGATATGTATATATTGTGGTTGGACAGTAATATATGTAGATATGCAGGCAGGGCAGTCAAGTGTTACAATACAGTGACTTGAGGTGGACCATAGCTGGTCCAGGAAGCTTAGATATATGTATATACAGTATATATCTCAGGAGCAGTGAGACAGGGAGATTTGGAATTTCTGAGATTTTGGAGGAACTTTGATTGTTGCATTCCGTGACAACCGATAAATTAATAAGAGAGAGGATGATCTGAGAATTACAGTATCAACTACGAGTACATGTACATGAAGACAGTCTTGACTAGAACTGTAATATAGGCGGGGTGTCTGCACGGCACATCAACTGGAGAAGTTTGTCAACTTTGTTGCATAGACTTGTTAAAAGTCACCTGTTGTGCACTGCTGTGGAATTTACTGATACAGTTGACTTTTACTTTGGCAGACTTGAAGAGTGTTAAAGCTGTACAACCTTTGGGAAAATAAGGCAGTTTGATATTACATAATTTCATGCTTGATGTGACAGGCACTTAAAACCATTGATGGGATTTGGTCAGGGTATCATATATTTTCATGCGGGAAGATTTTAGCAGTTGAAAAGTAGTGAAAAAGAGTTCACAGACAGTGAGAAACTATCAGATTGTTTTACAGCTTGGGAGTAGACTATAAGGAAAGTGATTTGAATGAAAAAGAAACGTGCTGACATCACATGGTGTCTCTCCATTACTGCACGAAAAGATCAAGTCACAGAAATTGCACGTATACATCAAATACTTAAAAGGAGAAGTCATCATCCCACTAGTGCGTGTCTGTATCCTGTTGTTGACTTCATGAAGATTGTGTAAAAATAACTCAGAAGCATCAACTTATTCAGCACAGTGAAAAGTGACTGGAATTTAGGCAAATTACAGATCAGAAAAGAGATAAAGGAAGACATATTGTTGCCAGCACATCTACTAGTACTATACTGGTATAAGTTATATATGTGTTGTATATGGTGAAATGGCACCCAAGGCTGTTCCACTTGCTGTACATCTAACAGTGCTGGTGATTCAGGCATACTCTGTCTATTACGACTACTTTATATGCAGGCCACGTAATAATTACAGCTGGAATAGCTACGGAGGGCCGTGGAAGTATCTGACATGGTGGACTGAGGTATATATGAATATAAGAGTGTTTTTGTTTATTTTTATAAGTGATATTTTGTATGTAGTGGAGATATATACTAGTATACATAAATATTAGGGTGTTTTTGTTCATTTTTATGCCGGGGTAATTTGCGTGATAAAGACTATTTCCAGACCCTATCATGCTAACAGTGGATCCATCTATCTCAGAGGGGATTATTGGTAAATTGCAATCAACTTAAGTGGCTTAGATGTCTGTCACACCTACTAGTACTGAAGCTGCTATGGGATAATTAATTATCCTTTAGCAGCTCCAGAAGGCATGTCAGACATCTAAGAAGTTTAAACCGAAAGCAATTAAGTGGGAAACCCCTTGGAGATGGACCGATCCTGTTAGATCGATCTAGGTACGGGAACCCAGTCATAGACTCCATCTGTTTGTTTTTATTTTTTTTTTTATGTCAATGATATTTTGTATGCACCTGATGTCAGCTTGCATGATTGCCCATCTACTTTTCTTTTCACCCAAAACATCTCAGGTGTTAACTTATTACTCAGATTGTTTTTTAGCCTATTATTTTATGCAGCCAGTTCTTATCAATAACACATTGTATCCACAGGTATTTTCTCCTTCACTTGTACCTGTTATCATTACTTCAACCCCCAGATATAAGGATAGTCATAGCAAGGCTATCAAACTGTTGTAAATTTGAATTATAGGCTACTAGCTAGCATGACTGTAACCTTGCTCAGTAGAAGTGAAAGTGAAACTGGTGAGCCAGATGAGCCAAAACAAGAAATGAAGAAAACTTTCAGAGTTATTCAACCTGATCACATCCTGTAGGGGAGGGGGAGGAAAAATTACAAGCTAAAAACTTAAATTTCTTGAACCTCCTTGTGATGAAGATTATTCTGTAACTTTATATTAGAAAAAAAGAAAAAAATCCATAAAACTGTTGCATAAACTTTTGTATTTTCTGAAATAACACTGAGCAAAATAAGTTTAATAATAATATATTATGCTGGTGGAATTTGTGCAAAAATACTCTAATCGCTTGAAATAACCTGTAGAGAAAAAATAAAATATTTATGTTGGAATGCCTAGATATATAACACCCAATTTTGTGAATAATTCCTATTTTTGTACCTTCTTTTTTTTATGAAGATGAATGTAGCAATGTGTAGTACAGTTATTGATTATTCCTACTCACAGTGATTATCTCAGAAACCCAAGTTTGAACACGGCCAAACAAATATTTAGACAGTTATCCAACACTATAACAATAAGTTTAGGGGCTGGTACAGGTTAATTGTGACTATAGGCCGAATACAAAATTGAAAATTGCTGATTGAATGAGAAATGTGTAAAGGGTATACTATTGATTGCACTCTCCTGCTTGTGTGTGTAATTCTATACTGCCTTAGCGTATTAATGTTGTCCTGTGTATGATGTTGACAATAACCCCCTCTCCCGTCAACAAAGGGGATACCTATGACCCCCTCTATAAAGATTGACCTTAACCAGAGTTTAAATTCTGTCAATAGACCAATCACTGGGGAGATAGCTCTCAAACAAGTACATTATAGCTGATCGTGAGCGGCTTGCTCCAGAGGTTGGTTTAGTACCACAGCTGCAATAATTGGAGGTTTTAAAGTTTTATCATCGTGGCTCAGATTGGCTGCTGAATGGCAGACACTATTATTGGCTTATCTCGCTGACTGATTTCCAGCCTTGGAAGATTGATGGTTTACCCAGAACTAACGTATTTAGTAACTTAGCGTCATATATTACATTCCAGAGCAGCAAAGCTTGCCTTAGAACAGATATTTATTCAGAGATCTGTCAGCACTTTGCTTGGAACTTAGTTAACAGTTTTATCTTGCTTAATAACCTATAGTGATTACGAATTATACCACAGAACAGCAAAGGGTGGTTAACACCAAGCATAGGCACGTTTGAAAGCAGGAAAGAGAGCCCTGTGGAAGAAGGAAGTAATTCTTGAAACGCCGGGCGTGTACTTATCTTTTGCTGAGCTAGGCAACACAGGTCGGCCATTGAGGTCTGAATGACAAAGATAGCCAGACTGTGTATAGGATATTTTACCAGTGATGCAGTCTGAACAAAGCCCGCAGAGGCGTTATTTCCCCGTGCTTTACCACGCCCTAGTGTTTGCAGTGTGGATGTTTACGCTGTATAAAGATATCACATTTATTCAACCCGCAAAACGAAACTTTGGGGTACACCAGACGTATGGAGGGCCCTGGAAGTTTTTGACATTCTGGAATGAGGTAGTTTCATAGAGATTCATGATTATTCATATAATTGTTTATTTATTTGTTTGTTCGTTTTTGGTTTGTTTATTATTATTTGTGCTTATATATTTATAAGAACAAGACATGATATCAGGTGCACAACTTTCAATTGCATATGTTGTACGTGTGGTAACAGTTTTTTCAAGCCCCCATTATAACCTTTATTGGTATTAGCCAAGGGGTTAATTTGGTCATCATTATTATTATTATGTCAGTCAATCACCCTGATGTACTGAGTATACCTGATGTTCCAGACATCGTCAAGTTCATTGTATACACAAGGAGGAGTAAAATACATCTACTGGTGGAGACTATAATGATAACCTAACTGCATGTGATCCCTGATAAGTTGACCCTGGTTGGTTGGCAGTTGGTCTTTGCCCCCCTCCTCCCCTGCCCTCCTCCCCCCCCCTGCCCCCCCCCCAAGCCCTTTCCTTACAACTAGCTTGATCTGGGAAAGAAGGCTGCAAAAGCAAGACCGTACAGTGAGGATAAACACTGTCAATCTTGTCTCCTCAAACAGCGTAGAAATTGAGCGGGATCAATATCAGTCACTGCAGACAGTCTACTCGGTATTTAATCTCTTGATTGAGGAACTATTGTTAGGTGTCCAGGAACTAGGTCAACTGTTTCTAGGTCAGTGTTTGCAGTTTAAAGGTCGGAGTTCAGTTGTAGTCTGGAAGCACAAGCATGGCGTCCTTAAAGTCAACAGTCTACCACGCCAGTCTGTTTATGATGTACGCCTTTTCGTTGCAATATAACATTCACTATGTGAAAGACAAGAGAGGAGATAGCTTGTTTGAATATATGGGATACGGTGGGAAGTTTAAATACCTGACATTCTGGTGTTTTGTAAGTATGTTTGTGTAACTATGTGTATGATAATACAAATAGCTAGAGTATAGTGTTTACAGGTATTGTTGTATGGTGTATATGACAATACATAAAGAACACTACTACTATCTCCTATTACAACGTCAGGCGTCTAGGACATCACAGGGTACATGATTGTTGTACTAACAATACATATAGAACACAGTGTATGCAATTGTTGTACTAGCTGTGTATATAACAATGTTTAAAATACATATAGAACACAAAAAACATATGACTGCTAGGGTAGCGCCAGCAATTTTTTTCGCTTAGCCAAATCACCATATTTCTGTCAATTTGTTATCAAAATGGTTATAATTTGGCTAAAACATGTCAAATCAAGTCCTTTTTCTTTAGCCAATTTAAGACAGTTTTAGCATTTGGCTAAATTGGGGAGTGTTAGCGCTACCCCAGGACTGTTATACTGGCACTGTATATGGCAATTGTAATAAAACAGTGTACGTGATTGTTGTAGTAAGTGTGACCAGTATGTTTACATAATTATCATGCAAGGCATTAATTTTAGGCTTACCAAAATACATCAAGTGTAATGTTTGTTAAGAATGCAGAGCAAGTTCTCCCTGGAGACTTAAATTGGAAATTAACTACCATGATAGGGTTTTTAAAGTGTGGGTACATGTATAGCCTGGTTGTGGCAGCTTTATCAATATTAAAGGGATAATAACTCTTCGTTTCGGCCAAAAAATGAATTTTCCTGGAGTAAACAACAATTTTCCCATACTTACCAATGGTTAATGAATCCATTTTTACATACAAAGTTAGTCCCTGTTTTTTTTCTAAAAAGTTTGGTTTTTTGTTAAAAGCTCTTAAGAGATTTTAACAGAGTATAGCCATCAATGGAGGTCACGTGGTCTAAAGACAAGCTCAGATATCAGAATAATAGCTATAACTGCCGTTTTTGTGGTAAAACAGGATATATTATATTTCTGTGAGTTATTCACAATGTTTTAATTGTGAAATAGAGATATCATACGAAGAGTTATTATCCCTTTAAACTTCTCCACAGTGAAAGGTGATGGGAATTTTGAAGAGAAATTGGTCCATGTGAAATACGGCAATCCTTGCACTAGCATGTTATTGTTTATCATTGTATATTTTCAGTTGATCAACACGTTCTACTTTGGGATCGCCCTATTAAATGACCTGTGTGGCAGCAATGCAGGGCCTGAAGACGGGAAAGATAAACACTCCACCCTACAGAAGTTTAGAGATAGAATGTATAGTATACTGGCATTTCCTATAGGCGCAGTAAGTATTACACAACAGTTTGTCTTTTGTATAGAGGTTCTTGGTACAAATGGTTGATTAATCAATGCACATATATAGTATGTTGAAAAAAAAAAAAAAAACTGAAAAAAAAAGATAAAGTAATAACAATAAAGTTATTATTTATGAAGAGATGATGAAGAGAAAAATAATGCCAAAGGAAAAATGTTCTCTGTAGATCCATCCAACTGGCTGGGATTCTCAATGAATGCAATCAGGTGAACAGATTGACACACCTCTAGGCATTGAATAGAATACAGAAAAGCTGATGATTATATAAGTACATTGGAAATAAGTGGAAGCATGTTCATCTGATGGCATTCAGCCAGAGTCCCTGTGGTGTTGGATTGATCTATGTAACATTATAGTTTCATAAAAAGTGGGTCCTGTGCTATTTATTTATTTATTTATTTTACTTAGCTCGTATATATGTTACTTGAACGTACTGTTCCACCTCAGCTAATATTACTCCTTTTTTCCATCAGTTTGTCGTAGCCTCCTTCTGGTCTCTATACGCGGTGGACAGAGAGCTGGTGTATCCCGCAGAGCTGGACAAAATCATTCCATCCTGGTTAAACCATGTCATGGTGGGTACTGTCGTTTAATTCTCCTTCCTATCCCTTCCTTCCAGTGTGTTGTACTTCTGTTCTGGGGGCTGACATTTTGGGACGAGCGTTTGGTTACGCCTGATGAAATGAAGGGTTTGTATCCACCCTGGTTAAACCATGTCATGGTAAGGACAGCGACATTCTGCTTATGGTGAGAGCTATATGCATAATAGATTAAAGAAACTCTAAATTATCTTCCACCCCCACCCACATTCCCAAGGAAAAAACTACCTAGACCCCATTCCCAGAGATTAGAACGATCCAACTAGATCGACCTAACTCCCTGGGGGTTCACACTAAACAGCTGTCAGCCTAGCGGGCACGGAAGTTAATTACCACCTTACAACTTGTAGTTGGCGGGACGGGTGGGGGGAGTGAGAGAAGTGAATGCAATCTTTCTCCTCATACTAGTGTTTATCCACATGAAATATGAAGTGTACTAGTACCTTCCTGTAATAACATGGATATGAGTATTCCACACATCCCTCTTATCACCTGTGAGTCTTTGAGACTGACACTTGTGAGTCCTTGAGACTGACACTTGTGAGTCTTTGAGACCGATGCTTGTGAGTCCTTGAGACTGACACTTGAGCCCCTGAGACTGACACTTGTGAGTCCCTGAGACTGACACTTGTGAGTCTTTGAGAAGGACAGAGACAGCTGCATTGACTTCACATTGAGCACTCTCTTACTGAACATTTATTATGTATACTGTTCATTTGTTATTGAGTCATGTTAACAGAATGATTATACATGTACTTTTACTATAGTAATGCCTTTTTTACAGTGCTTTGGTTAAAAGTTGTTTTTCTTTCAGATACATAGTTCTGGAATCAATAAAATTTTATTTTTGTTAAGTATTTCTGATGCTTTCACTTCATTAGAATAGAACTAAAAGGAAGCCTGCTTGTCAGTTTTCTTGCTGCCACACAATGCAAATGTTTTAATTTGAAGAATTTACAAATTAGAAAAATACAGTATCTGCTAAATTAATTTTCCCCATTGAAAGGATAGATGGATTTTACAGGAATTGTGTCTCTTTATCTTCAGCATACCACTGTACTACCATTCCTGCTAATAGAGGCATATGTGGTCTACCATGAATATCCCAGCAAGAAAGTAGGGATTCCTGGAATTGTGTTTTTCTCTTCGTTGTACCAGTTTTGGTAAGATTTCTGCAATCTTTAACAATTTGACTGGAAACATCACATTTAAAATAGTGTTGCATGTGCTCTGTTGAGTATTAAATATGAGATGACTGTCAACTAGTTAAGCCACTTTGTCAGGGAATTGTGAACCACTATAAGTGAAAGAAGTGGCTCGCATGTATAAAAATCCTGACATCAACATTGGCTGCATGGCTTTAAGTTTTAATCCCTATATTGTAAACTAGGGAGATTAATGTAGAGCATATATCAAAGAATTAACTCTTGTATTATAACCATAATAAGTTCTACATCTCTACATCAGTGTGTGCTCAGCAGGGCCTAGGGTTCATTCCCAATGTAACAATCAGTCTATGCAGATTGAGCCAACTCCACAGGGACTCTTGCTGAATGCAGTCAGATTAAGGGATTAACATGAGACCTTTTGGCATATAGTAGAATACAGAAAAAATGAAGATTACATGAGTACATTTGAAATGAAGAACTGTGTTAATCTGTTAAGCTGATTGCATTCAGTGATAGTCCCTGCAAAGTTGGATCGATCTGCATAGACATATTGTTTAATTGGGAATGCGCCCCTAGACTACATGTACTTAACAGTTAAGAACAATAAAATGACTGTCATGATTCCAGGATATTGTGGATTGCGTTCAAGGCGGACATCTGGGTGTACCCCATCCTGAGGGTGCTCAGCTGGCCCATGAGGATCGTCTTCATGGTGCTGTGCTGGGTGCTGGTGATGATCCTCTACTTGTGTGGTCATGAAGTAACACAGATGTGCTGGGGTGAGTGTGCTAGGTGTGACAGTGACATTGTGCTGGGGTGAGTGTGTTATGTGTGACAGTGACATTGTGCTGGGTGTGACAGTGGCATTGTGAAATGCAAGATTGTAGTGGTTTGAGAACTTGGGAAAAGAGTTGAAGAGAGAGAATGTGTATGAGAGAGAAAGAGATAGAAAGAATGCTTAAGAGAGAGAGAGGGAGAGAGAGAGAAAATAACTGAGATAGAGAGAGAACAGGGAAGACAGGTAGTTAGTATTTGAATTGTTATCAGATGCTTCAGACTCATATTTTAACTGGAATTCAATTAATATCACCGTTTAACCATTTACAGTAGTATTTCTTATAAAAATTCCTTCAGTATCATACATAAACAACTTCCAACATTCTGCAACTTTTTATATAAAGATAGACTTATACGGATGTGTTAACAAAGTTTGTTGGAAAAATCTTGTCAGTATGCCACCACTGAGGTTCTAAGCTCCATAGTGTTTCATATTTTACTTTGCTGTGTTGTGATAATATCACTGATAGGAAACGATGTTTTTCTTTCAGGACCAACACAAGGGAAGACTCTACAGGCAAAGAAGGTTAAATAAAAAATTCAAAAATTCTAAAATATGAACGAGAAATGTGATAAAGGATAAGAAAAATTCTGAAAAGATTCAAGATAAGACTTTATGAAGGAAATAAGAAGTAACGAGGCTGGAAGATAGAAATGAAAGTTGAAAGTCTTAGAGAAGGGCACTCCCTTCAGCAATGCAAGAGGGTATGCCGGACCCTCCTTGAGCAGTGCAAACATGAATATTTTATGTGGTCATCTCTTGGGGTGCTTAGTGGCTCCCTCTATGCAATGTGATCCGTGATTTATTTAATGTGATCCATGATTTATTTACTAGATTCTATCCTTTGTTTGATATTAGTTTTTGAGAGAGGAAATATACAAATTGCTCTTTGTGATGTTCTGTCATGTGAACTGAGCAAATTAGTTGTGGTTAAAGTAATGTTTTTATACCTTTTGTAAAATTTCACAGTTAGTATCTTTACCAACTGGCAGATAATTTACAAGTATTGTATATGTTATCATGTGGCTAATAAACACTTTTTTGATAGTTCAATAAAAAGTGTACTCTTTAACCAGTGATGTTGCTGTTTCTGATGGTTAAACCAGGGACTTAAACTGAGCAATGTATTGAAAGGATAACAACAATTCATTTTTGTCAAAAAATGGATTTTCCTGGGGTAAATGACAATTTTCTAATACTTTTCATAGTTCATGAATCTGTTCCAACGTAAAAGTTAGTACATTGTCTTTTTCTAAAAAAAAATTTGTAATATTCTCTTAAGAGATTATTATATAGGATAGCCATATATGAAAATCTTGTAGTCCAATGACAAGCACATATTCCAGAATAATTGTGATTACTGTAGGTTTAGTGTTAAAATAGAATTCATTATATTTCTATGAATTGTTTACAGTGTATTTTTTGTGAAATATGGATCTCTCACAAAGAGTTATATATATATCCCTTGAAGCCCCTGTCAGAGTGTTTTTAATCGCAGGGTGAGTCATATGCTGCCAGGACGAGGAAGAGGATCATGATGGCTGACAGTGTTCTGGCGTTAGCGAGAGAGAACTAAGAGTAACTACATGTATGTGTGAGAATTGTTCATAGTGCAAGTGTCTGCATTAAATCAATAATAACTTGAATAATGTCAAAAGTAAATTGAAAAGATTAAATTGGAATATTTGAAATGGTAATGATGTAAGCTTAATTTTTTTTATGTGTGACATTTTTTTACTTCAGAACTTGCATCTTACACCCCATTTCCATAGATTTTTAGATCGATCTATCCCTGTGGGGAGTCTCACTAGATTACTGTCAGCTTGGCCGGCTTAAGCGTCTGTCCCGCCTACTAAAAGCCGTAAGGGGGTAATTAACTAAGGTGCCCGCTCAGCTGACTGCAATTTAGCGTGAACCCCCAGGGAGTTAGGTCGATCTAAAACTTAATCTTTAGATCGATCTAAATCTCTGGGAAAGCACCCTTAAACAAAGACTATAGGCAGATATTAGAAATGTCATACTATACTTGAACATGGAAATATCTTCCATTTTCCAAAGCCTTTGCAATAATATAAAAAGACGTAGACGCTGGCGGTACCCATGGTTTTAGTCCCGACCCGTATGTTCCGCCGGCTCTGCCGCCAAGTCACCGTTTCTGCTCTCCTCCTAGACTACAAGGGCCTGCGTACCCATCTCTTGGATTTAGGTCACCTGTTATCTCAACTCGCTCCAAGTAAAATTTTGGCTTTGTCGGTGCTGGGGCCTAGGCGTGGCGCTCATTGCAATGCACCCTTGTCCCAAATTAGCAAAATTAAATGCTAATTATCTACCATACCGAAGGAATTATGGGAAAAGTTTCTATAGACAGCTGAAGGAAAGTCATATGTGGAGATTTCAAGTATGCCCTTGGTTGTGACCTTTTACCTTTATTTCAAGGTCAAAGGGGCCAAAATTTTCGAAAAAATGATTTTTTTACGAAAAAAAATTATTTGCGCTAATATTCAGAAACTACACAGACCTAACCTACAGTATAATATTATTGGCAGGTATTACCCTTCAGGTCTTCTTTCATCTCCGTGAGTTTGGGGTCAATCGGTGCATTTTCACGGGAGTAGCGGCCATAAGATATCGAAACTGAAAACTGTCTCTTAGGGTGCGTTCCCAGAGATTTAGATCGATCCAGAGATTTAAATTTAGATCGACCTAACTCCCTGGGGGTTCACGCTAAATTTCAGTCAGCCGAGCGCGCACCATAGCTAATACACCCTTTCAGCCTTTAGTAGGCGGGACAGACGCCTAAGCCGGCTATAAGCTGACAGTAATCTAGTGAGACTCCCCACAGGGATAGATCGATCTAAAATCTATGGGAATGGGGTCTAAATCAGGAACCGTTAACGCTAGAGACCTATTCTTTTTTGCATTTTGTAGAGCATGTAAAGCCCAACACTGGAGGTGGTCTCCGTTTTTTTTAAATTTCCATACGGTTTACGAGTTATGCTGTATCAAAAAGTACATTGTGGTGGTGAAAGCAAAATGTGCAATACGGTAATATGTAATCAATTTTGAACCTCTGGAAAATGTTACATAAGGCTTGGCAAGGCAGACAACTTCTGGTCAAAAATGACATTTTTTTCATGAAATTTGAAGATCTGGAACTTCTCTGCACCTCCCATTTCAAGAATTTCGACCAAAATGACCATTTCTTTATTTCAATTAATTTCTTTTTGAAGGAAATTTATGGCACATTATTGTAATTCCAAAATTGTAACATTTAGTCCCTTATATCTCCAAAACTGGCAGAGATAGGCCCATAGTTACTATTGAACTTGAATAGGAAGTCATATACTGGCAATCTAACTGTTACCTTAAAATTGACCTTAGACATACTTTTCATCATGAACTGAACTTTGCAACTTTTTCAGTACTTTTACTTTCAAAACTGGCAAAGATACCCCCATAATTACTATCACATTTGAATAGGAAATCATATATTGGCAATCTAACTGTTACTTTAAATTGACCTTTAACCTACTTTTCTCCATGAACTGAACTTTGCAAATTTCTTTCCCTTTTTTTAAAACTCCAAAACTGGCAGAGATAGGTCCATAGTTACTATAAAACATGTATAGGAAGTCATTTACTGGCAATTTAAGTGTGACCTTTAAATTTGCCTTTGACCTACTTTTTATCATGAACCGAAAATTGTAACATTTAGTTCCTTATATCACCAAAACTGGCAGAGATAGGCCCATAGTTACTATTGAACTTGAAAAGGAAGTTATATACTTTAAATCTAACTGTGACCTTAAAATTGACTTTTGACCTACTTTTCACCATAAACTGAACTTTGCAACTATTTTAATGCTTATACTTTCCAAACTGGCAGAGACACGCCCATAGTTACTATTGAACATGAATACTGTAGGAAGTCATGTACTGGTGATTTTACTGTGATCGAAATTGACCTTTGCCTTTTTTCATGATAAACTGCACTTTGCAAATTTTCTGATCTTTATATCTCAAAAACTGGCAAAGATACACCCATAGTTACTATTGAACATGAATAGGAAGTTATATACTGGCAATCGAACTGTGACCCTGAAATTAACATTTGACCTAATTTTCACCATGAACTGATCTTTGCAAATTTTCTATCCCTTATATCTCAAAAACAGGCAGAGATACATCCAAAGTTGCTGTTGAACTTAAATAGGAAGTCATGCACTGGCTATCTAACTGTGACCTTGAAATTGACCTTTAACCTACTTTTTATGATGAACTGTTTTTTTGCATGTTTTCTGGCCTTTAAATCTCCAAAACTGGCAAAGAAATATCCATGGTTTCTATTAAACTTGAATAGGAAGTCATATTCTGTGACATTGAAATTGACCTTAGACCTACTTTTTCACAATGAACTGAGCTTTGCATATTTTCTTGACCCTCATATCTTTAAAACTAGCAAAGATTTGCCCAGTGTTGCCCCTAGGTTTTTTGTCCGCATACATATGCAAAAATAACAACACATTTCAAGGAAAACCAGTGGGCCTGTTGTCTAGAGAATCACGAGAGTGATCAATGTTAGGAAAATACAGGTCAATTCGAAAATCTGCTTGATTGTACCATTTTTTTTTTTTTTTTTGCCATATTTTGAGAACTCTTGTTGATTGCATTTTATAGAGCTTGTCAAGCACAAGACTGGCGGTGGTGTCCCTTTTTTGGGGGGTTTTCTATACGAATGCGCTTACTCCAATTGGTGGAACAATATCTGGAGGCGGTATCACCTCTCTGATCCTCTAGTTACTGTGTACAGACATCCCCTAAGTAACGCACCTGTACACACACACACACACACACATACATACACACACACACACACACACACACACACACACACACACACACACACACACACACACACACACAACACACAACACACACACACACACACACACACACACACACACACACACACACACACACACACACACACACACACACACACACACACACACACACACACACACACACACACA